AGAACACAGTAATTTAAGACATAGATAAAATACAATAAAATTATATTTCGGGGTCACCCCTTGCAATCTGCCCCAATCAGTCGCTCATAGGTGGGTGTGTCCTTACTTTATAAAGCGGTATTAATACCTCGCGTGATCTTGATTCTAGGCCTCTGTTTATACAACCCAGGATCGTATTGGCTTTTTCGGCTGCTGCTTAATATCTTAAATTTGCTGAGCTTCAGCAACTAGTGTTGCTAAATCTGAGCAAATTTAAGATATTCGACTTCAGCTCTCCAAATTCCCCGTTTCTTGACCCAGGACCATGGGTCACCTGCGGAGGGCAGCCACTTTTAAGGTGCTCCCAACCAGTGCACACATGCGCAGAACAAAACCACACTCCAAATCAGATTTTGCAGGTCCTGGTTCTGCGTTAAGCTTCTTTTCTCCATTGCAGACCGGAATCTGAATATCTGGGAATATTGTCCCGTCTCTGACAAGTGGACTAACTTCGAAACCTGCGGAACGCACCTCCGCAAGCAGCAAATGTTGTCGGTGGAGGAGACCATCTATATCGTGGGCGGCTGCAGCCACGACTTGGATTCCAAGACGAGATCCGGTCAGAACGAGGCTATGTTGACTGTGCAGTCTTACAACGTGGTTACCAAAGAGTGGCTCTACCTCAAAGAAAACACCTCCAAATCGGGCCTCAACCTGACTTGCACTTTGCACAACGACGGGATTTACATCCTGAGCAGAGACATCACTTTGTCCACAAGCCTGGAGCACCGGGTTCTTCTGAAATATAATATATTTTCAGACCGGTGGGAGTCACTGAGAAATTTCCCCATCCCCGGTCAAAACATGTTGATCTGTTCTTTGTATTTCCCAGATCTGAGCTGAATTCCGTTCGTTGCAGAACAGAGATTTTTTCTCTCTCATCTGTCCACAAATTCTTTTTCCACAGTTTTCCCCCCGACTTTGGCCACTTTTGAGATGCATGGACTTCAACTCCCAGAGTTCCTCAGCCAGCCGTGGAATTCTGGGATTTGAAGTCCACCTGTCTTAAAAGTGTCCAAGCCTGGGAAATGTTTAAAGAGACGATGCTCAAAATGTCACTATTGCAATCGATAAAGTGGGAGGGGAGAAAGAATAAAGGCGTACAGATGCAAACCGATGCGCATTAATCTGGCTTCTGGCTTAGATGAGAACCGATGGCTGTTGGGTTCAGAGAAACTTGTTTAACATCAGGGAAAATACTGTGAATAAATTTACTGTTTCATATCAATGGCCATCGTTTCCCATCCAACTTGAAATATTCCTTTTTCCAAACCATTTTGGCCAGGTAGGTTAAATAAACCTCATCACCAGAGATACGGTTTTGACCACGGATGCGATGAAAGCCACACTGCTTTTATATGTCCCTGTTTTGACATTTTGGACATCCCTAGAAGCCAACAGAGGTTGAATTGGAGCAATTATTTTGGAAGTAGGAAGGGATACCCCTTTCGTGAGAACATGTGAGCGGGAAGATGGCATGATCTGAGCGAAAGAAAAGTGCATATTTTCAGGACTTGCCACCTTAAAGTGGACCTCAAAAATGAATCATAGAATCATCCGCCTGGAAGGACCTGTGAGGTCTTCTAGTCCAACTCCTTACTTAAGGCAGGAGCCTTCTGCCATCCAGTCAAACGGTTGTCCAGTCTGTTTTTGAAAACTTCCAGGAGATAAGCTGTTCCATGGATTAATTGTTCTCGCTGTCAGAAAAAATCTCCTTACTTCTAGGCTGTATCTCTCTTTAACAAGCTTCCAACCTATTTACCAAAGCCCTTGCAGGCAGGATAAGAAACAACGGATGGGAACTAACCAAGGAGAAAAGCAACCTAGAACTAAGGAGAAATTTCCTAAGAGTGAGGACAATTACCCAGTGGAACAGAAGTTGTGGCTGCTCCATCACTGGAGGCTTTTAAGAAGAGACTGGACAGCCATTTATCAGAAATAGAGGTCTTCTGTGAGAGCAGGGGATTGTACAAACTAGATGACCTAGTACAGCTAGTACTAAGAGGGGAAAGAAGAGGGAGTCCATTTATATTCCAAAGCGCCTGAAGGCAGGACAAGAAGCAACGGATGGAAACTGACCAAAAAGAGAAGCAACCTGGAATTAAGGAGAAACATCCTAACAGTGAGAACAATTAACCAGTGGAACAGCTTGCCACCAGAAGTTGTGCGTGCTTCATCACTGGAGGCTTTTAAGAAGAGACTGGACAGCCACCTTTCTGGAACGGTATAGGATCTCCTGCTTGAGCAGGGGGTTGGACTAGATGACCTTCAAGTTCCCTTCCAGCTGTATTCTCATCACATTTAGATCTGACCTCCAAGGTCCTTTCTAACTCTGTTACTGTTACTTTTACTGTTACTCACTTGATTCTTGTTCTGTTTGAAACTGACCACATTTACTCTGGCTTATTTTCTGGCAAACATGGAATTTTTTTTTTTTTAAAAATCTTGTGTCTACAGGGCTTCAGAAGGAGGAAAGACAGGAAGTTAATAAGTGTTTGCTTGGCTTAAATCTAGACATGAATTATATATTGGTGTATTCGGGTCTTTTCCCGTGTAAGATTGATCTGAATATGCCAAGACCCGAATACGGCAAGACCTACATACCTGTACCCGTGAAAACACACACACACACACACACACACACACACACACACACACACCATGCTGTACCTTGCGGGGGGGGGGTATTTTAAAACTGTCCAAAATGTGTCAAATTAAGGCATAAAAAGGAAGACACTCTCCTGGGTTAAGAAGGGTCTAAGAGGCCTGTAGTTCCAACAATGTCCAGAAGATGGCTCCCAATCCCCACCGTAGCGCAAGGAAGAAGCCGAGTTGAAGCCAGAAAAGGGAAAATCTTAAATATTGATCGTTATTAAATCCCAGTCAAGGTTAGGCGCTGTGTGTTGTTGGCCAGAGGCCGAGTTTTGAATCTAGGTGTCCTTCCTTTGGCCTGAATCCAACTGGTTATAAAATTCAGCCCTAACTCTCAAACCTGGGCTGTAGAAAAACTTCAAACTGTTGCTTCAGAGCAGAGAATTAAGGGGGAGGGGCCACCCTGGACATATTTAATTTCACTCTTGCACCTAAAACCGTTTTAGAAAGTAAAAGTATCAGAGTTTCCTCTGAGTTGAGGTGCCAGGTTGTTCACCAGAGGACCAGAGGGAAGGACGAGAAACAATGGCTGGAAACTGACCCAAGAGAGAAGCAACCTGGAATTAAGGAGAAACTTCCTGACAGTGAGGACAATCAACCAGTGGAACAACCTGCCTCCAGAAATCCTGGGCACCCCATCCCTAGAGGTTTTTAAGAAGAGGCTAGACATTCACTTGTCTGAGATGGTGTAGATTCTCCTGCTTGAGTAGGGGGCTGGACTAGAAGACCTCCAAGGTGCCTTCCACCTCTATTCCTATTCCTATTCCTATTCTACTCTACTCTACTCTACTCTACTCTACTCTACTCCACTCCACTCCACTCCACTCCACTCCACTCCACTCCACTCCACTCCACTCTTCATTATTCTACTCTACTCTGCTCTACTCTATTCCATTCCATTCCATTCCATTATTCGTTATTCATTATTCTACTCTACTCTACTCTACTCTACTCTACTCTACTCTACTCCACTCCACTCCACTCCACTCCACTCCACTCCACTCCACTCCACTCTTCATTATACTACTCTACTCTACTCTACTCTACTCTACTCTACTCTACTCTACTCTACTCTACTCTACTCTACTCTACTCTACTCTACTCTACTCTACTCTATTGTTGAACTGCAACCACTGGTCATTTGCCTTCTTTTCCAGAGTCGTTGAGGCCACTTGGAGGTTTATCTGTGTCCTCAGGGTCACCTGAGTAATGCAAATGGGTGTGGAGCCTTCTTGAAACTGCTGAAAGGACTCTGTTGTAGACAGGAGAGAGATGGTGTCATATCCCTCCCCTTCTGTTGAGGGAGGGCTGTTCAATTTTGACATAGATGGGGAGGGGGAGGGATATGACATCATCTATCTCCAGTCTACCACACGGTCCTTTCAGCAGTTCCAAGAAGGCTCCACACCCATTTGCACCCCTCAGGTGACCCTGAGGACGCAGGTAAACCTCCAGGTGGCCTCAATGGCCTGTCTGAGGAATTCTGGGATTTGAAGTCCACAAGTCATAAAAGGGCCACGTTTGAAGACCCCTGCTCTAAAAGGATGCAAAGGACCGGCTGTCTGCAAGGAGTATAAATCCTTCCCTTCCCCACCATCCAATCAGAGCGGAAGAAGCTTCTTGGAGGAGAAGCGAAATGTCTTCAAGGAAAAAGCAAGCGAGCCCAGTTGTCTCTTGAGAAAAGCACCTTTGGGACCACCAGGACCTGGATGACTGAGAATCTCCACAGCGATGTACTGAACAGGCTTTTGTGCTGGGAGAGACCCTTGGCGGCTCTTATGAAAAGGGGCTCATCCCAAATGAATTTTTGGAAATAATTTTTGGAAATAATCTTCCCGTCAGCAAGCAGAATGCAGAGCTATAAAAGGAACAGGAGTCTCGGTCAATAGGGGAAAAATCCTATCTCTATTGAGATGTTATGGATACAACCAAACAAGTCCCTGGCTTGAACCTTTTCCAGACAGCTCTCCATCCCCGGGCAGTGAGTAAGGGAACCCCACCCTGTTGTGATTTCCCCCCACTGGATGAAGTCATCTCCACATGTGTGGAAAACGGCTACCAACTCTAGGAGGTGAGCCCATGTGAAAGATTCTGCTTGCCTCTCCTCCGTGCAGAACACTTGAATCAGCCAGAGGCAGACAAGGAGACCGCACAGCCCCTCGACTGACATGGTATAGGGCCATGGTGGCAAATCTATGGCATGCGTGCCACAGGTGTCACTCAGAGCCCTCTCTGTGGGCACGTGCACCGTCGCCCCAGTCCTAGGCCTTCAGCTGGGTTTTATAAAATCTTTTCGCTTTAGGCCTCCGCCGCTGTGTACAAAAAAAAAAAAAAGTTCAATCAATCAATCAATTTCAACTTCTCGCGGGAAAAAAAAGTTCTCGCAAAGTTGGAATTGATTGATAGAACTTTTTAGTCCCAGCCAGTCTGCCGTTACCACCGCAGCCACGCCCACCCAATGGGCCACACCCACCCGGCACCCGACGATGCATAAGTGGGTTTTGGGTTGCAGTTTGGGCACCCGGTCTCTAAAAGGTTTGCCATCACTGCCCTAAGTACTCTATTCCTCCAGTGGGATAATAATAATAATAATAATAATAATAATAATAATAATAATAATAATAATAATAATAATAATAATAATAATAATAATAATAATAATAATANTCTTAATACATTTTCCCATGTATTTCACCAGGAAATATAGATAGGTCAGCCAAGAAAAGTCAGTGCCTTCCTAACCATACCCAAGTTTGTTGAGTTTGTTGGTGATGTCCATTTTGCTCTATGAGTTCATGGTGACCTAACCCTAACCCTAAGTGGAATTTTCCTCCAATGGGATTTTCCCATGTATTTTACCAGGAAACCTAGATAGGGCAGACAAGAAAAGTCGGTGCCCTCCTAACCATAGCCAAGCACTCCAAGTTTGTTGGCGATGTCCATTTTGCTTTATGAGTTCATGGTGACCTAACCCTAACCCTAAGTGGAATTTTCCTCCAATGGGATTTTCCCATGTATTTTCCCAGGAAACATAGATAGGGCAGGCTAGAAAAGTCAGTGCCCTCCTAACCATACCCAAGCACTCTGAATTTGTTGGCGATGCCCATTTTGCTCTATGAGTCCATGGTGACCTAACCCTAACCCTAAGTGGAATTTTCCTCCAATGGGATTTTCCCATGTATTTTCCCAGG